CTTATGATTATCACTTGAAATAATGAAAAATTTTTAAAAAATTAAAAAATTCTTTGAACTGAAGGCAGAATGGATGGAAAGAATGGATGCCATCCTGAGCTGTTCAAGTTGTTCTGAAACCCACTATTTGGTGTATAAAAATTTTCATTAGGTGAAGATGCTGCTGTCATTAACTATGATATTGATTTTTTAATTTATTTTTTATTTGTGTGTGTGTGTGTCTGAGATGATACAGAAATTCTGTACCCATTCTGAACACCAGAAAAGGCTCAGGAAGTCTCGACAGCTTTTTGTATCTGCTGTCTTGCATCTGCTGTCCCTGGTCTATCCTAGACTTGGACTTAAACTTACATGCCAACGTTTGGTTTTGAATCTCTTCTAAATTAGAAATGGCAACCTACTCTGGAGCACAAGCTATGAACATGAACATTTGTTTTGGGGAAGGAAAGCTGCACGATTAACAGTAGGTTTAGAATAAAATGTTCCTTTTTTGTTCTGTTTACTAACAATCGGAAATTTGAATTTGGTGGTGAATAACTTTAAGTGGAGAAATATGACTGCTAAGAAGCAGTGTAATAATATGTCTGTAGAGCACTTTGAAGATGAAAAGCTCTATATACTGTAAACATTATTACTGGTATAGCTTAATCTGTGTGGAATAATTAATCTAGCATAAGCAAAATGTAGAATTTTTTTTTTTTAATGTACAATATAGTGTTTTGCAAAATGTAGATTTTTTTTTTTTTAATGTACAATATAGTGTTTCAGAAAGTCTAACGCACCCATGTATTTACTTTCACATTGTAACATAAGAAATTCATCCTCTTATTTTTTTTTAATATCTGTGTGTTGCAACGATTTGTTACTTTCCAAACGTAGAGGCAGTCCTAATCCAGAACAACCTGTCAGAAATGTGAAACATCTAGGCTGGGAGGAAAAATAGATGTTCTTTTAAAGATGGTATAAAAATACTGTGCGATGAGAAATAGGTGCCTGTCAGATATGGAAATGTTCGGGGGGCAGCTGGCCTTCTTGGGCTTGTGCTGTGGCTTTGGAGAAGACTTGACTGAATTTAGTTACAGAGCCATGCAGGTGCCAGATTGCGCTGGGAAGTGAACACCTGCCAGGCTGCTCCAGATAACTCAGCAGCTCAGAGGCATTTTCCCAGGCTCCCAGATGAATGGTCTGTAACAGCCGTGGGAGAGGGCTTCCCATTGCTCCACGCTGTACCACAGCCTCTTCTTGGCAGCCTTCTGGAAGCGCAAGTCAGCTTGGCTGTGACTCCTTTGGAAAACAAGTGTTGCTGGATAGTCTTACAGTAAAGAGTCAGTGTCTGATACTTCCTCTCGGTGTCGTGGGACTATGAAATATAACAAGCGGGGCAAATTACCATTCCCTTAAAAGGCAGCACTCACTGGTGCGTATTTCAGCTGAAACTGAACTGTGGCTTTTCTAGAACCACTTTGATTCAGTCACATTTTGGGTTTCAGGGTCTATCTGTTTTGTTGGGTTTGGGTTTTTTTGTTTGGGGTTTCTTGTTTGCTTTTTTTTCCTTGTTTGTTTTTGGAACCTGGATCTGATGATATAGGTGCACAGTTTTGAAGTAAGAAAAACAAAATCCAAATCACTAACAACAATTTTATTTCTGCTTCTGTGTTGGTAATCTACAAATGGAGCTTCGTCTAGGTTGCATGATGAAGAGGAAGCTGAAGATTGGGCCAACTGGGTTTGCTGAGCCTAAGATCTGTGAACTTTTTCTCTATGTTACAGGCTGCAAAACACTGTATGTAGCTGGAGATTAAAACTTCTATGGTGTGCTTAAAAGGAGTTAGTGATGGATCATTTGGTACATATCAGTTGGTCCCTCCTTCCAGATATCATGAACAGCAGCTTTTGGTCCTTGCTAAGTACACGCTGGCTGTCTTTCCTGGAGCATAATCCACAGCTTACCCAAAGCCAACGTTAGTATACGCTAGTATATAAACAGCGTTGATGGTGGACAAGTCTGAAATTGAGAACAGACTTAGACTTATGCTGAGTAACTGCGTAGAAAGTTTAAAAAGCTGCAAGTTGCGTGAGGTTGTTGGAGAAGAAGGTTTTCTTGTGGGGCTTATTTTTTAGTTTCTTATTTCACAAAGCAGAATGATTAATTGGATAATATATTTCTCTTGAAGGAAGCAGAAAGAGGATATCGCAGTTTTTATAGTTCTGCAGTAACTCTGGCAACTTTAAAATTAGGGAAGTTTTGCAGATTCCAGCTGACTATGGATTAGATCAGATGTCACATACAAGAGGGTTTCAAAACATCAGATGAGTGTAGCTGTGTGATACTTTCAAAATATAGGTATCCTGAATGTAATGCATCTTAAAATTTTCTCACAGTTAGCAATAAGTAACAGCAAATCATCTGTTCAGGCTTTTTCAGCAAAGTCAAATAGTAAATAGTTATGGAAACTAAAATTATTTTCTAGTGTTAGTCCTTCTGGGCTGAACTTTTATTAGCTCAGGTGCAACTCCCTGTGAAGGCTTTATAAGACTTTCAGACTTGAGCTGACACTGCAAAAATAGTGTAGAGGTGTCTTGTTCTCTTACATAATTATTTATTTTGTTAGCTTTGAGGTAGGTGTTCTCTTCCAGAGAACAGTAGCTAGCTGAATCAAGGGCCTTTAAGAGGAATTTAAACTTTTTTCAGGCCATTAGTCAATCAAATATGATTAAACACTTAACCTCTCAGAGAATACCAGGATAGCGAGGAAAATAAACAGATATACATGTCTCTGATTCATAAAAGAATTTCAGGAATGAAGTATCGTGCTTTTCCCCGTGAAAAGCAAAAGATTCACACTTTTTCACTTTAAGTTCCTCTCAAGAAAAATACATTTGGAATATCCCAGGCAAATGGAGGTGGAAAGACTCTTAATATTTACTCTCTGTTTGAAGATTTGTTTGCGAAGTTGTACTTTTAGGAATGTTACTTTTTCAGCGTTACGGAGGTCACAGTGGAAGATGCTATTATCACACTAATAACTTACTTATATACGGGGCAAATTCTTTGATTTGGCAATCAAGGGCTTTAAGAGGAATTTAAACTTTTTTCAGGCCATTAGTCAATCAAATATGATTAAACACTTAACCTCTCAGAGAATACTAGGATAGCGAGGAAAATAAACAGATATACCTGTCACTGATTCATAAAAGAATTTCAGGAATGAAGTATCGTGCTTTTCCCCGTGAAAAGCAAAAGATTCACACTTTTTCACTTTAAGTTCCTCTCAAGAAAAATACATTTGGAATATCCCAGGCAAATGGAGGTGGAAAGACTCTTAATATTTACTCTCTGTTTGAAGATTTGTTTGCGAAGTTGTACTTTTAGGAATGTTACTTTTTCAGCGTTACGGAGGTCACAGTGGAAGATGCTATTATCACACTAATAACTTACTTATATACGGGGCAAATTCTTTGATTTGGCTAACTCTACTAACAGCGTTAAAGAATTGTGGATGCCAAACTGGAAGTAGCTAAAAGTAATTTTCTTTAATTGTGCTCGTAAATATACAGTTAATAAAGCTGGTGGATTACATCCAAATTTTTCTCTAGCGCTCATCATTTTTAAGGGATGGTTCAACTTGTCACATCTTGACTTGATCTCTAAAGGGAAGTCAAATTTTAGGTATCTTCCTGAGGGGAAGGAAAAAAGATGGCTGATAAATTTCAAAGGGATTGATTGTGATCAATAACTATAGTTCTTAATGAGAGGTGATGCTGAACAGCACTTGATTAAGTAGACCAAGTAGCACTTGATGGTGAGCTCCAGGAGATCTTGTACAAGTAGGAGAGTTGTAGACTGTGCAGGAGAGGACATGCATTTGGGGGTTTATACTTAGAAATAAGGCAATGCCTTGGCACTTGCTCAGTAGAGATTGAGACTGGAACAAACAAGCTTTCCTTACTTCTTTTTAAATAGTTAGATTAGGAGAACAGCAGTAGCACTTAATTTTCTAACTTTTCTGTGGTAATAGCACCTAAGGTATCTGACTGTCTCGGAAGCAGCAATAATTTAAGTCTTGCAACACCCATCAGAGTTAGGGGAAACACCACTAACCCTCTTTTGCACGTTCATTTTAGTGAGGTGTACAGAGAGACTATGGAGGAGGAGTCACAGATGCTAACTTCTTTCAATTGCAGTGGGAGTTAGGTTGCTAAATACCTTTATGAATCAAGTCCTAACTGATTTACTCGGGATCATTTTGGAATTTAAGTAGAACAAAAGTAAAAGCTGATTTCCTTAGCTGTAGTCTAACAGTCTCTTTGCCGTAATATAATCCTTTCTGCCCTTTTCTTACGCTCCTGGTGCACAAGGATTTCTGTTGTTCTCAGGAATAGAAACTTGAAGAAGACTCTGTGTATGTTACAGGTATCTGCTGGGTCAGCCAGGCTAGCTCTGTCTACTTGTAGATAATGAGGAGTTTAAATGTATGCATTTCTCAATTCAATGGAATTGTAGATAATTAAGACCTTTCGTGTTTGCTGGTTTGTTTTTTTTTTTATAGCCGGCATTTTTTCTATCGGCTTTGAGTATGTCACCTTTCTCTAGAAGGCAGTTAAGTGAATGGTCATCTGTAGCGTTCTTGTAGAATATGTATGAAAACATAGTGAATAGGACTCTAGCCTATTGGACTAGTGACCATGCCACTAGGCTATTAAGCAGATGACATCTCTGATCAATTAATTGATTTAAATTTATTTCTGTGGTTGGATACCAGAACTTGGTGGTTAGTAATTTATTTAGATTTTTCCCATTTCAGATACTAATTTCTTGAGACTTCAGTATGAGCAGTTTCTTTTTAAAAATATTCCTTTAAAGTTACGTTTTCTTCTGTATTCTTGAGCTGCTGCTGCTGCTTTCTCTCAATCCTGTCTTCACAGATGTGCAACACTTTGAGACCAGAATGCCCAAGATACCCTTACGCTTACTATTATCCCTTTGTTTTATGTTGCAGCCAACAGTTTTCACATTACTGCCTACTTTATGAAGAGATGGGTTAATCTCCGTTGTGCTGTAGGGAAACGTTATCGTGGTAAGAAATCAGTTTCTTACAGTGTTACTTAGAATTTTGCATTTCTGGGAGGAAAAAAAAGGAACATAAACTAATACTTTGTCAGATTTTGGTCGACTTAATCAGAATTTCTTTCAGAGCTTGGTTTTGTTTTTTTTTTTCCAGAGGATGTTTCCCAGAAAAAAAAAAAAAAAAAAAAAAAAAAAAAGAGAAGTGTTTCTTAACATACGATGGATTTTTTTTTTTAAACTTAATTTTAAATTTGTCTATGCCTTGCCCCAGGGTAATCAGCTAAGCCACGCCAAATTCTGTAAGTATGATGAGACTCAGCATTTTGCGGAGTCTCTGCAGGGTGAATCAGCCAGAGGTTGCAGTATGAATCACTTCATTATTGCTCGAGTGTCTTGTGACATCAACTGTACGGTACAAGTGTATGCAAGAAAAGGCTTTCATTCACCTCAGTGCTATAAAATCTTTATGTAGGTGATGTCATTGGACCAGATCTTTTTTTCATGTTTTCTCAAGCCAAGATGCTCTGTAAGGAAGTGATATCAATCCTGTCCTGCCAACAGCAATAAAAAGGAGCTATAACAATCGCTGCCCTTTGTGTTGAGCTTTTAATATTAAAAAAAGCAAAGTACATCAATTAGGTGCCCTTAAAAATACTGAATACTTGAATGGATATTTTTAAAGAATTTCTTATTTTTATAGGAATTCATTATATTCGTAAATGTTTAAATCTCTCTTCAAATGCCAACTAGTTGTTTTCTAAGTCCATATTGGTTGAAGGGATTGGAGTGTTGATTTTAAATATTTCATCAAACTTGTTCTCCCAGCCTCCTGGAAGAATAGTTAGAATAGAATAGCAGAGTGTCTGTGTTGGTATCTCAGCATTGGTTTCTGTGTATTAAATCTGAACTTTTTTTAAGCATCAGTGAATACCTAAAGATACTTCTGTGTTGTTAGCCAGCAAGTGAGTTTGTTATAAAATGTAACAATAAAAATGTCTAACTGGAATGAACTTGCCCTACTCGTGGTGCCAAAAAGAGAGGCTCTGATGCTGCAGTCAAAACTTTGCTTTCACATGAAGTTCTTAACAAGAAAGGAACTTAATTTTGCTGGGTTTCTCTCCCAATAAATAGCAAAATAACCACGTATCCTAAAAAAATAAATAATTTGGTGTCAATGTTTCCTTTCTGTAAGATACACCTAGTACTTCACAAACAAAAACTAGAGGTTGAGCCTTACAGAAGAATCTTGCATACTTTAATCGGTGATGCTCACTCAATATCTAAAGTAAACTTACCTAAGAGGCTATTATTGGAACCCCACATAACAAATTCAGTCCTTGCAACAGTTGTGCAGCTTTTCTTTTGTAGCCCATTTGGAAGATGTCCGTAGACTGCTCACAGTTTGAAAGCCACTGTACTAGACCTTTGCGCGTGGCTTTTCAGGTCTTGAGGATACAAGCAGAGAAAGAATAGTCTGGACATAAGGCACAGCACGAATACTTCCTTGGACACAGTTTTGCTAAGAGAGTTGATATTTCTGAAAGGATTATGGAAGGCTTATATTCATTATCAAGTTACAGCAGCTTAACAAGCTATTGTGCCAGTACAGATGCATCTGAGGTCTCTGTGTATGCTTTTTCAACCAATGGCAAATGCAAGGTAATCTGTTTCAACCTCCCCATCTTTCATTGTAATGACTCTAGAAAAGTCACTGCTGGTACGCGCTCAGAGGGGTTTGTCAGATGCTAATGGAGATACGCTGTTGGTGAAGGAGCAGTACCTTGTAGAGAGGCAGTAACCCGTATGGATGACCTGATCGTCACTGGCAAATTGTGCACATCATGCCTATATGCAATTCCTTGTGAAGAGATACTCTACCAAAAAAATCTATGAGGTCAACCTCGTGGTTTTTCTGCATGCCTTGTCTCTTTCTCATCCCAGAAAACAGGGTGTTATGGCTTGTTTTTGAAGTATAGCAAACTTTAAAAATTAGTAACTCTCTTTTTATAAAAGCAAACCAAAACAAAAACCAACAACAAAAACATCTGAGCTGAAAATATGAAGATAGTAATCTGGAAATAATCTGATACGTAAAAGAACAGAATATCCAGCTATGCTGTTTTCATAGCGTTGCTAGGTACTGAGTAAAGCTTTGTCTGGGCTATTCTAATCTGAGAACCCTTCAATTTTTAATCCTTTGTCAATAGAAACTTTGTTGTGTTCATAACAAACCATGTGATCTTGAGTAAAATATGTAATTTGGTAGCAGTTAACCAATTTGTTTAATGACTTCAAAAATCACTGTAGTCAGAGTTTGAAACACTTAGCCTTATGCTGAGTTTTTATGCCAAGTCCCGATTGAATATGTTGTGCTGTATTACAAACATAATTTACAGCTTTTGTGATGAAAAGACTCATTGCCAGAATAGCACAAAAGAAATCATCGTTGAGTGGTTTGTCTGTTGGTTCTGTCTGGTATATTTGTCCGAGGGTGCAGGTGGACTAATTTGCAGCCAGGACTATCCTCTTGGGAACTAAACTTACTCTGACTTATTGATTTTTTTGAATGGTTTAAAAAAGCAAAACAAAAGGGAGGGATGGGATGTTGAAGAGAGTAGGTAAGAAACGAGTGGAGTGCCTGAATTGAGTTAGCGTGCAATTTAAAAAATCAATTATTTTATTTACTAAAATAACATGTATATTTGTCATTATGTGTGGTTTTGAATATGGTTATAATTTTTGTAATCTTCTTTTCAATTATTTTTGTATAGAGCTACGTGTGTTTCCAGACAGATTTATAGTTTGTGTCAGTAAACTTGAATCTAATCCAAGTGCTTGGACGTGTGAAAATGGTGTATTGGTATGTACAAAACCATTCTGTAAATTTTCTGGTTTATTTTATAGTGGTAAGATGAATGTTTATATATAGAGGTAGTTATTCACATATTTGTGACTGTCATCTTGGAACCAGAAAGTCACATTAACAGTTGGGCCAAAGTATTCAAAAGGACGTCCTGAAGGGAGTCTGAAGCAGACAAAAATAGGAATTTTTGGAAGCTCAGCATTTTCTGAGCCATATAAGGCTCAGAGAAAAAGACCGTGTATTTAGAAACCTAGGTATGATTTTAACACCTTGATTTAAGGATCTTTTTTTCCTTTATATTTTGTCCTTGTAACATTTTACTTTCCAAAATTATAATGGGGCAGTTTTTAATGTCCATGGGTTTCTTGTATGTTTTCTTAGCACTTGTTCTGCAAAACAACTCAAATGAATCAGTGCTAGCCCTGCTGGGGAAAAAAAAAAATCCCCAAACATTTATGCAGAAAAAGGCACTGGTGTGTAGTTAAATACCATAAACAATTCTACTTAAATATTTCATCCTGCAGGCTTTATCAGGGTCAAAGGCTTATGAATTTTATGCTGCAGTTAACTGCTGATTGTCTCAGGAGTGCTCACATTGACCCAGGTGGCCTGCTATATGGCAGGCAGTCTCTTGTGTGCTCACAGTTAAGAGTCAGAATTACATGCTGACGTCTATGTATATTTTAGTAATTTATCTTAAATGTGTTAAAATATATTTGACCCTTGAAAGAAAAGTTTTTCTTCTACTCGTTCAATTTAGTATTTTCTTAGTATCAAGCAGGGTGTTTTTATTTATTATACTAAATGCAGATTTTATCTTGATTCCTAGATTGGTAAGTATCCTTAAATGTCAAAGGCTCAAGCAAATGTTTTTTTCTCTCTCAGAAAAAAAAAATCTAACTGCTTTAGAAGTAATTTGCTATTTTGGAAATTATTACTTTCTCGTTTTTTTCTTGAAAACTACTTAGATGCTTTAAGTAGAAAATCCTGTCTCTGCATTTTGACTGAGAAATAATTATGTCGTTTTTTTCCTTGCTTAAGTATCTCTTATGAAGTATCCAATTCCCTCATTTGGTATTGTTAATCTTTCCATAAAATAAAAGATGAGAAGTTTTCTTTAATTTCTTTCACATGAGTCTGTCTAGTAAGGAGAAGGCAAATGAAAAATACAATGTTAGGGGCTTTAGCTTGACTATTTCAAAATCTGATATTGAACTATGGAAACTTCTTGTTGTTTAAAGAGGGAGTTTGAACATTTTTATGTTTAAAAATAAATAAATAAATCTCGTAGTGGGATCATAAGCTAATCAATAGTAAAGTCTTGGGAGTTTGCTTTACTTACAGATGCAATACGTGAGTGTAGAACTGGCTGGAACGGTCAGTGTAGTATGTTGGTAGGAGAGAGTAAGATAAAGTTACCCCTAAGCCATCTGCCCTGATTTGAAGAACTAACAAGATGTCAGCAGACCCTCAGCAAATGTTTTGGAGTATCATTTTAATTCATACCACTCTAACTTAAAGGGTCCACTCCAGCCTGTTTTGTTGATCCAGAATTTCTACAGCATGTTACTACCAAATTTGTCATATACTCGAGTTCAGTACTTTGCCAAACTGGGGGAGTGTTGGATTGCCACTGAGAGGTAATTTCAAGTTTTTGGCACTTCAGAAGTAAAGGCAAAGGATCTGCACTTTGTGTGTGTACTTTTCTCTAGGCAATTTAGCAGTGAATATGCTTGAACTCTAAACTAGACTACAAAAGACCACCCAGAAGACCTTTCCGTTGATATACTCCGGTGTATTCTGTCATGGGCTAAAAATGAGGCATATGCGTTGTTTTCCTCTGTATGTTGTTGGGTTTGAATAATTTCATAATGTTGCATGCAAGTTCTTTTAAACGTTTAATCAGCTCGCACCCTTGGTTTTGAGGGCCTGTCTGTGTTTTATAAAAGTAGTTGACTACGTTAATGGAGACTTTGTCACTTTTCAGTGTCACTGTAATTGACTTAGTCAAGACTTAACAATTTTTTTTATTTTATTTTTTATTAAATGGCTTTTATTCTGGTTTATGGGTCAAGCTTTCAGTCCTGAGCTCTGTCAAGACAAGTCAGGCTCAATGCACTGCTTTCCCATTACTTGGAACAAATTTTATGTCAGCCTGATACACTTTTTTTTTTTTTCCCCACTCATTGCAACTCTCTCTTTCTTCACCTATCTTCAGGCCTTTGTTCTTTGCCTTTTCACTGCCTTTTCGGCTATTCTCTGTATCTCTGAAATAGACTGTGCTTAAACCAAGAGTTTCAAGGGATGTAGCCAGATATGAAATGAAATTCTTATGTCCTACACCTTACAAAAGATCATAATTAGATTGCTTTTTCAGATATTCACAAGCACAGACCTTAGCATCAATTGCTGAGAGAAGCAATTTGAAGCCTTCTGTGATGCATCTTGTAAGACCAAGGAAAAGATGGATTAGGCAGTCTCTGTCAAATTAGCTTTAAGCATAAACTAATAAAAGATGTGAGAGCACTTCTAAGGAGTAGAGCTAAAATAAAATAGAAGAAAATCTATTGATACGTAGTTTTCTATTTTCTAAAATCTATTTCTGTTTCTGTGGTCATATCGAAAAATCAGGCTGCAGGCAGTAATAATCATTTTGGAAGAAGGGAATTCTCTACTAAAGAAACAATACAGCAAGTTATTGAAAATACAGAAGCAAATTGGAAGTCTCAAGGAAAAGATGGAAGAATAGCCTGACTGATTAATGCTAAGTTTAAACATAAAACCATTGTTTCCTGTTTTGGCAAACTACGTTTGTAATCTTGAATAGTCTTATCTTGAAAAAGAAGAGGGTTTTGGGAACATGGCAGAAGAGGAAACCCAGGGAAATATATAAGAGCTCTGGAGAGATTAGTCATCTTTGTCAATGATGACATTTTCTTGATGATTATTATGTAGAGAGCTAAAATGACAAGTTGGAAATCGGTTATCTGAAGAAACAGTGGAAATGGGTGGAAGGCTTACTGGACGCTTGTGAGCATTTGAAAATGTGCTAACAATGGAATATTCATTGATAACCACATCAGCTTTATACTGGAATCTATGAGAGGAAGCAGTTGTAGGGAAAGCATGAAGGAGGTTAAGCTAATGATGATATTAAAGTGGAAATTTGGAATTACCCTTCATTTATCTGAAGAAACAGTGGAAATGGGTGGAAGGCTTACTGGACGCTTGTGAGCATTTGAAAATGTGCTAACAATGGAATATTCATTGATAACCACATCAGCTTTATACTGGAATCTATGAGAGGAAGCAGTTGTAGGGAAAGCATGAAGGAGGTTAAGCTAATGATGATATTAAAGTGGAAATTTGGAATTACCCTTCATGTGAAATCAGAAAAGAAAGCGTCGAGTAGGAGATACTGTCTTGATTAAAAAGATCTCAGGGATTCCACTGAGCCTTGTTAAGTTTCAGAGAATATTATACAAAAGTAAAGATTCTTTTCCAAACAGAATATTACTCTTAAAAAAACCCAACCAAACAAAAAAGCCCGCATAGGTACACAAGGAGAAGAAAAGTGCTAAAGGTACGCCCAGTGCTTTTGAAATCCCCAACAGAGAAATAAAAGCAAACTATTTCATCTTCTTCATGCACATCTGATTTTATAAATTGTGTCGTTGTAACATACTTTGGATACATTAGAGAATTCTCTTTCTTAACATTCATAAGAGCATAAATGACATGATTTGCTTGGATCTTGATTACGCTGGGAAGAGGCTTCTGGTTCTTTCATGAAAACACGTGCACTTAGCTGTAATTAACAGGAGACTTAACATTGGAGTATATGCTGCTGGAATAGTGTGTCTATTGGAAGGTAGAAGGCAAACTTTTTTTCAGATAGCAGCAATTTGTAAAGATTAGTAGAAGACTTTATGTGGAATTTACTTATCTTAAATACTTTAAAGACTGTTTTATTGTTAAGTGATATCAGATTGGGTAGGGAAAGAAGGAAGCGCTGTGAAATACAGTTGCACAATTCACACTGTGTAAGTGCTAATCTTGGCATGGAACTGTGTGTGTGTATATATACAATACTACAGTGAAACTGCTGTAATGGTGGGCTACTACTGAAAAGACCAGTCCACATCCCCTCTAGTTCCAGCTTACATATTCCTTTCCTTTCTGGTTACAATGGACCAAGTGATTCTTCAGTCGAGAATGAATTAGTTCATTGACTTGATCCAGCAGAAAAATTTGTGAAGTTTCTCTGTTTTTCAGTGGAGGATTAGTTTTCCGTCATGTCAGTTCGCTGAACCAACTCATTCTGTACCCACACAGTTGCCAGTTGTGACACAAAACATGTTGCAGGAGCACGCAGCCAGGATTTGGATGAAGAGAGCAGGACTACCCCTTTAGGTAGCAGCTGATAGTTACCCCGCTTTGGAAGTAACATCCAAAACACACATTAATGTTACATTTGTTGTAATACTTGTCTTGTTGATGGTTTTTGATTTCATTATCCTTTTTTAAATTTCATAAAATCGAGTTTTCATGTGTTTTCAGATACTATGCTTAATTCTTTTCAGTCATTATAGGAAACATAGCTAGAGGAAAACAATATTAAGCTGTAGTTTGGTAACTCTATGAACAGGGTTCACTACTTTTTTCAAAAAGGTAGAGAGGGGAAACTGCAGACTAATGAACTCTATCCAAATACCCCATAGTGGAACAGGTAGAGTTGCTTTTCTCTTTGGTGAGTTTTCACTTTTGACACTTCAAGCTTCTGACCCTTTTTTCTACTCATCCTTCATGTTCTGCTCATGCTGATGCAAGACTGATGATACTGAAACATGCAGTCCCTCCTGCCTTCTCTTACCGATGCATTCTTGTCCTCAGTGTCTGTCAGTACTGGCATGTGTGGGGAGCTGGGTTGATTCATTCATCCCTCTGAAAACAAGGGGGGTTTTTTGCTTTGGGTTTTTTTGTTGCTTGCATGGTTA